CTTATTCTATGTGTGACATATATATATATATATATATATATATATATATACATGCACACGTGTGTGTGTGTGAATGTTTAAAGCTTATGTATCTATGTTATTGTTTTAGTTTATTTACTGATGATAGGTATTTTTTATAAATTATGACTTTTACATATTTGTCTATTTTTTTATTCAGACGTATGACATTTTGATCATAAGTGCAATCATTCTCAAGTACACAGGTTCTATGATATGAAACGTTTTGTATTTAAATCAACAATCTAACAATGAGTAAACTATGTATTTAAATTAAACATACAATAGTGATTAATTATATTTGTGACTACTTATTAATAAGGCTTTAGTAATTTTTCTTATGTTAATGCTCACAGATATGGGAAGGAGTTTAACCTAATGTAAAACTCTAGGTAATTGCTACACCATATTTTATATCTGTTTGCTGGAGGGGTTGGTGGTCAAATTCACTATGTAATTTTCTTGATATGTGTTGTTGTTGTTTTTATGATAGTTATCTTTATGTGCTAATCAGAGTAGCCTTATTGATAAAATCAATCCGATAATCAACAAACACCCAGGCACAACTCTCTATTTTTTCATCATTATTACCCCAGACATTCCTAATCTTCCACAGTTTTTTTCTTGCAGCATATTTGGCATATTTAAATTTATCTAATTTATTTTTTAATTGATAAAATAAAGAATTTATCAATCCACATGAATTGATATGCACACACACACACACAAGTAATCACTATCATTTCTCTAGTTTGAATATATTTTTTATATTTTTGCTATAAATGAAAAACATTCTTTACCATAATAACCTGCATACTTTAGAATGATTGCACCAGCAATATTTTACCTGTCTAAATAAAACTTCTTCCTCAAAATGTCAACATCTCTTGTAAAAGTTTTAACTTATAAAAATATTAATGTTTTTTTTTAGTTTTAAGTGCATTATAAAAGATAAGATAAATAGTGGCTTGACACACAGCTAACTCAGACTGTTATAGTACTGACTTTGTAAACAACAAATACAAGTTCTGAGTTGGAGGTCACTTCTGATATGTTGTTACCTCATTTCACACAAAGGTATCTCGATCTTCTTTCTGCCCACTAAGCATTGCTAAAAACAAATTTCGCACTCAGTGCACCATTCTATATACCCCACCAAGTTCAGGCCACTATTGAAAATGCACATAGCATGTGACAACTCTCCATGAATAATAATGGCTGGAGACGGCTTAAATGGGTAATGAAGAAAAACTTTAATATAAGTTTAACATGACAGCAAATGTACAACGTTTCGACAAGGTTTTGTCATCATCAGGTACCAACCATTATTAGTCTCAAAGTGGGTTCCTCGTCATCGAATTTGAACTCTCCATGAATATTATTGTGTCACCTACGTTTGTGAAGCTAACTCCCTCTGCTATTCCTGCTCAGTCTGCACTTTCTTGATTGGCACTACATCATTTAGTAGTGTGTTTTTTCATGTGTGTCTACCTTTCCTGACTGAGCTTCTTTGACATTTTCTGTGTTTGCATTCAGTTGTTTTAAGAATTTTCTTTTTGCATTTGATTGTTGTTCCCAAGTTCTAAGTGTACTTAGTATGAATTTGAGTTTCTGTGTTTCGAATACAGAAGTTCTTGTTACAGTTGGAAATGCTACTGTTACATATTCCCAGGACTTGGGTTCGACTTTATCTGCAGAGGAGTTACAGGTCTTAATTCACAGGGAGCTAGATTCATATGTTCAGCCAGTGATTTCTCCTCTTCAACTTGATGTTTCTGAGGGAGAAGACAATTAAGGAGAAAACAATGTGGAATCTCTTTTTTTCTGGCACCTTCTTATTTTGGTCAGTCACAAACTACACCTCTTCAAGAAATTTCCCCTTACACCCCATTTTTACAGCTTTTTAATCAGGTATGTGATGTTTTTACATGTTTTCCCTATCACCTATGATGCCTTCCCTTCCTTATAGGAGGAAATTTCTTCTTCTGAATTTTATCTTTTTCCTCCTTCACCCGACATTAGGGTTCATGCTCAAAGTTTTTTGGACAAACTGCACTTGGGTGTTGTGTGGAATTATTTTTTTCATATGCACCAGTATCAAGGCAATGTATGCACCACCAGTAGTTTTTATTTTAGATGGGAGGGGGGGGGTTATACCATCAACCCTATTGGATCATTAAGCTGCTTTCCAATGGTACCAGTTGTTTCTTTGGGCTTTAGGCCTATCGAATGCCAGGGTCATTAAGGCTGTCAATGTGTTGAGACTACTCACCATTACTGAGGATGTGCATGGCTGGAATAATGAAGTGCGTGTCACTTGATTGATTGTTGTGTGGCTACGCAGCTGCATAGCTTAGAGGGACCACTGGTGTTGGTATGCCCTGTCTTCCTCACTTGTTGGACCAACATGCTTTGGCATACCATTGCTCTTCAGATCCATATTTGGATTCTCAACAATTGGATCTTCTACTTCCCCTTTGGAGTTCGAATCTGGGAGCGAATATTCATTTTAATCAGGCTCAATTCTCAATTAATTGCCTTTCCTTTTCTTACCTTTTGCATTACCTGGTTTCCGTCCAGTTATAGTCAGAGACCATTTGTCACTCCCCTGAACTTTTTTCAGAGGAGATTAGTCCCTCCTTTGGTCCACTGTGGCTCGTTTATTGGCCTCTGCTCTTTCTTTTAATACTTGGCTCATGTGCTGTTGGGACTTGTTGGGCAGTGATGCATTACTTGTGGGGTGCATCTACTCCATTCATCCATGTGGGATCTGTGTCAGGCCCCCTTCCTATGCAATACTATATTTGACGGTCCTCTTGATCCCTTAAAATCGAGGATTGATGTGGCTAGATTGCATTCTTCTTTGTCTTTTCTGGCTACATGTTTAACTCACCTGTCCTTGTTTCCCATCCACCGTCTTTTTTGCCCAGGTCCTTGCCTTCCTCAAGATGCTCCCAACCTTATCCTTGTTATTCCTGCACCCAGGCTGACTGACACAAGCTTTATAGGTAGCACTGTGGAGGTTTCCAGACCAGTGGGGGCTACATTGCTCCACTTTTCTGCCATGTGGCAGCATTTCACAACAACTCTGTGGGTATTATGAGTTCTGTCAGGTGGACTCTGCCTTCAGATCTGATCCCTACCTCCCCTTCACCATTCCCCTTATTTCTTTTCCACCCCTACAGGATCCTACATCTCTTGGTCATCTTACCAAGGCTGTCAACGATCTGCTTTGCAAAGAGGTTATTGAATGGGTGTACCCTATGCAACCAGGGTTTTATTCCCATCTCTTTGTGGTCCCCAAGAAGATGGGAGATTGGAGACATATCATTGACCTATCCTGGTTGAATAATTCCTTTCTGGACTCCCCTTGCTTCATTTTAGAGTCCTATCTTTCAATTCAGTGGGTATTTTCTCTGGGACTCTGGATGACCAAATTCAATGTGATGGATGCCTATCTTCACATTTCCATTGCTCAGTTCGTTTACGAGGGCCGGGTATTCCAGTTCCGGACCCTGCCTTTTGGATTAACATCAGCTTCTTTTGTGTTTTGTTAAGTGATACAAATTTTGCTCAACATCTTCACTCGATTGGTCTTCACACTCATCATTACATGAATGACTGGCTCCTGCTTGCTTCTTCCTGTTCACGGTCCAGAGACTACAGTTGTCTGATCCTCCAAGAAGTGTCACCAGTGGGATTCCTGATAAAAGTGGAGAAGTCCATTCTTACCTTTACTCAATACCTTGTTCATTTGAGGGTTTTCTTGAATTCTAGCCTCAGTTTGGGCCAAACCTTCTCCTCTTTATCTTTGGTATATGGAGCAAGCAGTCCACAAGGCCCTCACCTCACATTCTTTCACAGCTTGATACGTTCTATCTCCTTTGGGTTGAGATCATATGCATTCCCTTTAGTGGACACTCCTTGACTGGTGGAACTTCTACTCGGATCCCTTTTCCCCTTCCTTCACCAATCAGGGCTGATCTGACTTGGTGGCTAGATAGGGACCAGACCACAGCAAGGGTTCTGCTTCCTCCACCTCATACAGAGTTACATCTGTTCATAGACACATATTTAGAAGATTGGGGTGCTTACCTCAACTATGGATATTTTTGGTTTCTGGTTGGTCAAGAAATCTTCTCTTTATATCAACATTTCCAAAATTATGGTAGTGTATTGAGCTTTGTTCCATGTCCTTCCTCTCCTGTGGAGGAAGGGGGTTATGATACACTCCATCAACTTCACAGTAGTCACTTATATCACTGAGCAAAGGTACATGAAATCCAGGTCTCTGTGCTTTTATACTATGGTTCAACTTTTCTTTGCCCACAGTCACAGTTGCAGATCATTTACCTTGAACCAACAATATTCTCCCCACAGAGTAGTCCCTCGATCTACATGTTTTTGTTGGGTGTACTCTCAGCTGGAGACTCCCTATATTGATGCTTTCTCACCCACTGGAACAACAAACTTCCTTCCTTTGGTCTCCCATTCTACACCTACTAGCTCTGGCAGTGATGCATTCAGTCATGATTAGACTGGTCATCACATCTATTCTTACTCTCCTATTTGACTCCTCTCAGGGTTCTATCTCTAATCCAAACTGCTTTGTGTCTAGTCCTCCTGGTGGCTCCATTTTGGCCAGTGCACCCATGGTTCCCACTGCTCTGGCTTTTACTTCTACAACCTCCCCTACTCTTACCCCTGTCTCTGCTCCATCAACCTCAGTCAGACATTGTTCATCCAGATGTCACCACCTTCTGTTTTCATGCATACCTTTTTCAGATCCATTGCCTCAGCCCAGGGACTGACTCCACATATTACATTTTTCCTTTCCAGATCAATATGACCTTCTTCCAGGTCTATTTACCAGAGGTGATGGTTTACCTTCCACCTTCAGTTTTTGTCCTTCCCACCTTTCTCTTCTTCATCTTTTCCAATTCTTCAGCTGGTTGTTTGACAAAGGATTGTCCAATTCGACTGTGTCTAGCTATTGGGTGGCTTTGTCAAACACTTCTGTTTCTCCAAGTTTCTTTAGGTTTTGTCTTTCCTTATCATTCCCCTCATTTTCCACTCTTTTTGGGGCCATGTGTCCTCCATGATTCTTTGAATTGCCTAATTGGGATCTCAGTGTGGTCCTTTATGCCATTTTCTGTTCTCTCTTTGAACCTTTGTCTATGTGTACCATATAGCATCTCTCCCTCAAAACCTATTTCCTTCTCCTCCCCATTTGCAAACATCATCGATTAGATATTTATGCCATTAATGTTACCTGAATCCTCTTCTATTATTACACTTATGACATCCAATATCCAGACTGGCACTTCATTCCTAAGATCTATGCTGCCTGTGAAGGCTGTTTGGCTTTTACATCCATTTACTTACCTTCCATCTTACACCTGTACTGCCATTCTGATACAGATCAACTCCTTTATCCAGTTCACTCCTTACAGTGTTGTATGGCATGCACTGCCTCCTTTTGAGGTTAATGTTCCTGACTATTTCTTCCCTGTAATTCACCTCTTTCCTATGATATATCCTCTGCCACACTAATTGGTTGGGTTCATCAGCTCTTTAGTCTGGCATATTCTGACTTACGCATAGAAGGTCGTCGTCTCCACAATATTTCTTCTCATCAAATTCATCATATCACTATGTTTTTGGCTTCTTGCCATAGCTATCCTTTGGAGGAGATCATTCATACCAGAATGTGCACTACTTCCAATACCTTCATTGCTCATTATCTGCACGAACTGACCATATCTTCCTCAAGTGGATATCATCTCCTTCCCATGGTGATTCTATGTGTGTTCATTCACCTTTGACTGGAGTAAGTCTTATCATATCATTTTACTTATGTTTTCTTTTTTAAAGACACTCCTTTTTACCACTACTAATGGGATCCCGCTGTGTGGTGGGTGTTGCCTTGTAGTGTTGCTTTGCTTTAAACCGCACTGTTTACTGGTAGCACTATAATGCTCACTGTAGAGATGTTGTTTTTCACAAGACCACTGGTGACTTGCCCATTGGTATATCATATGTTTCTCAATATCCATCAATTTTACTCAATTGTGTCATCACTTATGGACTTTAATGAGTGAAACAGAAGGAGATTTATGCCCATCCCTGCCAACCCCTTGACTGAATAAATTGGGGATAGTCTGCTTTTCAAAATAGGGAATTGTATACACCTATTGCACTTTCTCCAGTATGATGTTCCTCTAGACTCCCCACCTCACTTACTTTCCCTCTTTCTTTTTTTCTTTGAATGGAGCAAGGGAGCCCTTACCACTTCCCAATTCCCAGTTGCTGAGGTGTGGACCATGGAGGCTTCTTCATGAGTGCATTGTAGACTTTAAACTTTCCATACATCCACTCAGTGAGAAGAGGTCAAAGCTGGTTTCCCTTCTTCCATTTCCTCTGGATGTTTATTTCCAGGTGGACAGTTGTCCAGCTTATGTGAAATTCTCCTCATAATACTAGGTTCAAGATGACACCTCCCTGGTCCTACGATTGTGTGCAGTAGAGACTCCCCATCTCATTAATTGTGGTTGCAGTTGGTTCCTTCCCTGCTCCTATTGTTGAATTTGTGGATTTCATCTGCTTCCTAATACTGGAAACAGGACATACGTACACTGTTTCTGTGGTTGAGAAAATATTCTGTATCCTGCTCTTAATTCTGGATGCAGGATGTCTCTTCCCTGCACTTAAGGTTGGGTGAGTTAAGATTTTTCCTCTTAATACCAATTACAGATATTGCCCTGTTCTTACAGTTGAGTTGAGACAATGATGCAACCCTGTAATGCCTAGTTTGGTTTGTTGTACTTCTTGCTCTTATGGTGATTTTGGGAGTTTGTCCATTTTGGCCTTATGCCAACTTTTTCTTCATAATTCAGGTTGTTTGACATATGACACTCTGTTTATTTACAGTTGGGATTCCTGTGTGTGTATATATAACATGGTCCACATTCCCTAACCACATTGTTTATGTTACTCTGTATTTGTTTTTATCTGATTGATTCTCAACTTCCTAATGCCAAGGATGAGCTGTAGAACCTTGACTGTAGGGTTGAGGTTGGGTATCTCCATAGCTAAGTCAGGTGTTTGTTTTTTACTATGGATGTCACCTTAGAGTGAAGTACACTTGTGCACATTCTTTTTTTCTGCTTGTATCATGCTCATTTCCTTCTTCTAGAGCAAAGGGCATACCTGTTGCAGAAGTAGTGTAGTACCCTATGTGTGTGCTTCAGTTCATCTCAGAGCATACCCATTCATTTTGGGCAATTGCTTTCCACTAGGTTTCAATGTTGTGTGCCTACACTGGACCCTCCATCTTTGCAATGTGTGATTCTAGTTTTGTGTGAAAAGAGGTAAGATCATATTGGAATTTAACATTTTCAGTGTAAGAAAATGTTAACTTCTGATATGGTCTTACCTCCTTTCACACACTTCCAACCCTTTGTTCCCACTGCAGGTGTTATTCTTTTAGGTCTTACGAATTCTTGAAAGTGAGGATTGAGCAGGAAAAGCAGAGGGAGCTAGCTGCACCAATATATAGGTGGTGCAATACTATTGGTGGAGAGTAGTCACATGTTACGTACATGTTCAATAGTTGTGTGAAATTGGTGTGCTGAGAGTGAAAATTTGTTAACAATGCTTAGAGGTTTTCAGCATAAGAAAATGTTAACTTTTCACACATTGTAAAATTTTCTGGACATACAGAATTTCATTTCAGAAATCTAGAGTTTGTGAATATATTAACTACTGTTTTAATATGAGAAAATTGACCAACAAGTTGGGTGCATGCAATATAATACAGATCACTAACAAGTACTAGTTTGACTAAAAGCTTAATTAAATGTAGTAATACTTAAAGTACTAAAAAATGTGAAGCTAAAATATTGCATGACTAGTCTTGTCACTAATGAAATAACTTAATCTGATCATATATACATATTGTAAATAAGTAATAAAGTAAACATGAAAAATATGGCAAAAATAGACTCCAAAACAATCAATTTTTGTTGTTTTTAAGAGAAAGGATAATGCACAGAAAGAGAGTATTAATAAATGCAGTTGAATATATCACTAGAACATACAAGTGTTGTTTTACATTTTTAACATATGGCCTCAATTTCAAGAGTTTCAATCCTCCAACAAAATCAGTTTGATTGCTAATGTAAGTATATAATACTCAATTATCATGGGTGTCTTTTTCATTCACAGGACTTAAGTTTTAAGAAAAGTGCATATACATTATCAGTTTATTTATACTTAATAATATTTACTTTCAGTTCCACCTCTCATTGGACGGTTTGAGTTTGATAAGAATTTGCATGAAGGAATGAGAACTCGAGTTTATTGCAACATAGCACAAGGAGATCAACCAATCACTATTTACTGGACTAAAGATGGGTATCCTATCTCAACTGATTTGGGAATATCTGTTCGAGTGATTGATAACTTTTCTGTTGCCCTTGTTATTAATAAGCTTGAACCAACTCATAATGGTAACTATACCTGTTTTGCCACCAATGAAGCAGCAACTGTTCAGTATACAGCTCAACTAGTAGTTAATGGTAAGGTATTAATTAACAAGGTTTAGTCACACTATCAACATGGTAGAATCTAGATTTTGTAGCTTTGTTATGGTAATGCATTGTTTAATAGATAACTAGATAAGTTTTTTTTAATCACTGTATTTAATTTTATGAAATGTAATTTTGTCATCCTTTCACTTTTTTCACAAGGTATTGAGCAGTATCTAAAGCTTTATTGTACCACATTCATTTTTCTAATTGTACTATTGTTCGTGACAACCTACTTAATAGCTAATTATTGTTGTACCCTAGTGACTGCTTATTGATCTTTTCCACCTCTTTTGCTTATATTGTTTCTCAACCAACTCAAAAGTTGTTTAGCATTTTATTATGAAGAAAAATTACTGGGATAGATGTAGCTTAATGGTTAGGTGCTTGGCTGCAGAACAGAAAGTCAAAGGTTAGAGCAAAGGTATGCTACTGAATGTACTCCACACATTCAGTTGTGTGGATGCTATAACTGTAGCACTCAGTCCCAATATTCCATTAAGAATAGTTGCATATTAGGTGGTGGGTGCTGCTCTCCTCCTGGTCAGTAGTTGTAAATTATGGATGGCTATGCCTTAACCTTAGGGGTATCTGACCTGGCTGTGTAGTCATATGTCACATAAATTGCCATTTAGGTTGAAAACTGTTACATATATTAACTATAAAGGCACTCGGAAAATGCAACTCCTGTGCCCTATTATGTTTTTCCAAATCATAGGTTTCAATGCCAAGATCCTCCTTTTGTATCAATTTATTCTCGATTTTTGACCATTTTTTAAAATCCTGATTTTTTGCTTTTATATCATTGTAACAAAAGTGGTTGACCATCAACTGGATCTTGACCTTTGAGCTACATTCCACTGGTATGCTATTTCTCATATCAGCTGTACTCAAAACAAGCTTAAAGTTGTTCATATTTACTCTAAAGAAAACTAAGACTATTTTAATCCAATTATTCATCAATTAAGTCATGTTAGTATACTTAACTCTTTATTAAGCTCTTAAAAGGGTCCTTTAAAAGCTTGTTTAGATATCACTAAGAACATGACAACTTCTTAACTGGTTTGTTTCATAGAGTTGATAGTTGTATGTAACCTTTGAATGCTTTTGTATTACAGATTTCTACAGTTTACTTATGGTCAGATTAAGAATTTGCATGAGAAATTTTGGCAATATTCAACGTAACTTGTCAGTAGCTCACAAATGTATACTGTTTGCTAAAACTAGTCAGTTTTATGTCACTATATAATTTAAAACACACAAAAGCTCAATCTAGCATCTAGTAAATAAAGTAATTTATATATGATCTTTAAAATCCTTCTGAGTAGTCTGCTACATATAAAATATGTTGACATAAAAGTACTGGTGCTGTATATGGTAATATAAAAGCAAACATACAGTTGTTATGGCTTGTAACTCATTTTGTTCAAACTGTGTATTTTATGTCAGTATGGAATAAACTGATTACCCAGTACTTTTGTTTGGTTTACAGTACCTCCTTATTGGATGATTGAACCAACTAATAAATATGTTATACTAAATGAGCATGGAAACTTAGACTGTTTTGCCATGGGATATCCAACTCCTCAGATTACCTGGAAAAGAGATAAAGGTAGTTACTTTTTATGAGAATTAAATTATATATATATATATATATTTACAAAACAAAATAAACAAAGCAAATAATTACTTTACACCTGCTTAATTAGCAAAAAATCAGAGGTTTACTGCACTTAAAAGTTGGAAAGTGTGATTCCAGTACTAGAATGCTGCATTGAATATAGTTGTTATTAACTTATCCTAACTTTATTCAAGCTATTATGGTATACTGCACTCCTGCCTTTCTGTTAAATATTTATGTTGTTTTTTTACTACTTTAATGGTTAAAAAAACATAAATAAAGTGTCTACTGTGACAACTGAAATGTGTTTTTTTGCAATATAACACATTTTTATTGAAAGAAAAATAAATGGATTAAGCACCTTGTTAAAATATGTCTGTGACACTGTAGATATGAGTGTTTATTCTAGTTGGCAGTGGAACTGATTATAAACAAATTCTGAGTGGACCAGACTACCAGATATTTGAGAATGGTACTTTAAGAATTGCCAGAACAAAACTTCAGGATCGGGGACATTACCTCTGCCAAGCTAACAATGGAATTGGACCTGGGCTAAGCAAGGTTGTTCATGTTACTGTTCATGGTAAGTTAACATCATAAATAGGAAAAACAAATTATAATTTTAATGGAAAGTAGGGATCATTGGTTAATCGTAGAATTTCTATAAGAAATATCTAAAACAAAATAAATGTTGCAATAAAAAGTACACAAACAAGTAAACTGATACTAGTTGGATAGATTTAGACTGCTTTATTTACCTATACGGATCACAATGCCAACCAAAGTAGGGATTGCAAATCGTTTTAAAATCCAACCAACTAGTATCACTTTACTTGTTTGTGTACTTTTTATTACAGAATTTATTTTGTTTTAGATAGTTCTTATAGAAATTCTATGATTAACCAATGATCCCTACTTTCCATTAACATTTTAATCTTTTTTATATATATATTT